CAAACAAACAAACAAACAAAAACTTCTGGCTGAGGCCAGGCCCCATATCCTGGCTCCATCATTTACCAGCTGTGGCATCCTGGGAAAGCGACTTCACCTCTCTGGAATCCCAGCACTTTGGAGCCTGAGGTGGATCACAAGGTCAGGAGTTCGAGACCAGGCTAACCAACATGGTGAAACCTTGTCTCTACTAAAAATACAAAAATTAGCCAGGTGTGGTGGTGTATGCCTGTAATCCCAGCTACTCAGGAGGCTGAGGCAGGAGAATCGCTTGAACTTAGGAGGCGGAGGTTGAAGTAAGCCGGGATGGTGCCACTGCACTCCAGCCTGGACAACAAGAGCGAAACTCCAACAACAAAAAAACAAATAATCAAAAGTAGGTGCAGAATACCTTGGAGAATATATAAACTATATATAATTACAGGTCTGCAAATGCATACACACACACACACACACACACACACACACACACACGTATTCAGAAACAGAGACACGGAGAAACAGCTGGAGTGATTTTCACCATAATAGTAACAGAAGCGAGTATTAGGGGTGGAGTGATAACTTTCATCTCTATATTTCTCTGTGACCTGAATTTTCTACATAACTATCATTAAATTCAAAATGAACCATTTACACTTGGCAAAAGAAGAAAATGATCTCCCTGTTCCTACAATGAAAGAAAAGGTAGAGGGTCTTATATACATCAGATGGGCATTGACCCCCCAGGAATCTGGAAGACAGAACCCCCTCCCACCCCCACCCACCAGCCCGCGCCCTACCTGAGTGAGGGCTGACTCCAGCATATGACAGAAGATGTTGAACTGTTTGAAGTTCCCTGTCTTGTGAGTCAAATCTTCAATGACTGGGTGGGGAGAAAAGTCCCTCCTGAGGTCTGACCGCTTGCCCAGCCCCAGGGCAATGCATCTAAGCTCTCCAACTCTCCCCGACTGCAGTGTCTCTGGCTTGAGCAATGAGACCTACACCCCTCCCGACATTGGAGAGCTTTCGGTGACAGAAGAGACAGGTGGGCAGGATTCAGGGTGGCCTCATCTGGGAGAAGCTGATCCCAGGAGAGGAGAGATGGGCCCACCCCAGGCAGGCACACTCACAGCCAGCATCGAACTCGCCCCGCCACTGGTCAGCTGTCATCCGGTCCTCCACCTCCAGCTCCAGCACCTGCCCGGAAACCACCACCCGCACAGCATGCTCCACACCCCGGAAGACGTAGTCCACCTGCAGGCCGGCCGGTTGGTCCATGGCCAACGTTGCTGGAGACAGAAACCCAGAGGAGCTGAGAGCCCAGGCTCATAACCTGGAAGACCAGGCCCCATATCCTGGCTCCATCATTTACCAGCTGTGGCATCCTGGGAAAGCGACTTCACCTCTCTGTGCCTCAGTTTCCTCATCTGGAAAATGGGTATAACAATGGCACCAACCTTGTGGACTTGTGAGGATTACAATGGGCAATATGCATAAAAGCACTTGGTACTGTGACCTGCAGGCTGCTGTGTCCAACATATGCTGGATACTAGGAATACATGATTGCTGGGCCGTGCACAGTGGCTCACACCTGTTATCCCGGCACTTTGGGAGGCTGAGGCAGGAGGATCACTTGAGCTTAGGAGTTCAAGGCCAGCCTGGGCAACGTGGTGAAACCCTCTCTCTACTAAAAATACAAAAAAATTGCCAGGTGTGGTAGTGTGCGCCTGTAGTTCCAGCTACTTGGGAGGCTGGAGGCGGAGGCTGCATTAAGCTGTAATCTTGCCACTGCACTGCAGGCTGGGTGACAAAGTGAGACTCTGACTCAATTTTAAAAAGAAAGAAAAGAAATAAATGATTGCCAACAAAAGAATCATGATTAATATTAATTTATTAAGTCTTATATTCATTGTATATTTATTATTCATTCATCCATTCATTCAGCAAACATTTGCGGAGAAAAGTCAAGCTGGAAAGAGGGACAGGAGGTGTTGGAGTAAGATGAGCCAAGCTTTTAAAAGGGAGTCAGAGTAGGCCAGGTACGGTGTCTCGTGCCTGTAATCCCAGCACTTTGGGAGGAAAGACGGGTTGATCATGAGGTCAGGAGTTTCAGACCAGCCTGGCCAACATGGTGATGAAACCCTGTCTCAACTAAAAATACAAAAAAATGAGCCAAATGTGGTGGCCCATCTCTGTAATCCCAGCTAATCTGGAGGCTGAGGCAGGAGAATCGCTTGAAGCCAGGAGGCAGAGGTTGCAATCAGCCCAGATTGCGCCACTGCACTACAGCCTTGCAACAAAGAGAGACTCTGTCTCAAAAAATAAAATAAAATAAAGTCTAATACCAGAAAATATAATATTATGAGCCAAAAAGATGAGCCCTGAAACTCCAGGTAAGGAGTTTTTAACCTTGAGCCTTTGAGAATCTAATGAAGTCTCTGAGCCTTTGACAGATAAATGAATGATCCCCCAACATTTTGCAAGTTCATTTCAGGGGCTCCCAATTACCACCCCCAGGCCCATCCACAGATCACTTTTCTCAGAGGCCCAAGGGCAATGGCCTGGGCCCTAGACACCCTGACAGACACCTCCTCTCTCTACATCACAGCTCTTAACTTTATTTGGGAGCAACGTGCTTTGGAAGGGCTGATGAAATCACACACCCCCTTCCCCTGGAAAATTCACACTCTGACAATGTGCTTTCATCCTCTGGTGGTTCTGAAGTCCAGGTTAATAATCCCGATCTCGACCAGGCGCGGTGGCTCACGCCTATAATCCCAGCACTTTGGGAGGTAGAGGCGGGAGTTTGAGACCAGCCTGGCCAACATGGTGAAACCCCATCTCTACTAAAAATACAAAAATTAGCCGGACGTAGTGGCAGGCGCCTGTAATCCCAGCTACTTGAGAGGCTGAGGCGAGAGAATCACTTGAACCTAGGGAGGCGGAGGTTGCAGTGAGCTGAGATGGTGCCACTGCACTCCAGCCTGGGCAACAAGAGAAAGATTCCGCCTCAAAAAAAAAAAATAATAATAATAATAATCTCGATCTCACTACAAACAAATCGCCGCACGTTTCAACACATCCCGCAGCCCCAGACCCCAGCGCGGTGCGCGGCAGCGCTGGCCCCGCCCCACTGCGTCCTAAACCCCGCCCATCAACCCCACCCCTCCGGCTCCCAGAACCAATCAGTGGCGGCGCCGTCCCGGTTACCAAGGCGTAGGAGGTACTCACAGAACTGAACACCTGAGGAGCCACACAGCTTCACCGCCCCCATTCATGGTCCCCAGCTCCTGGGAGACCACACAGAGGAAGGGGGCTCGCCACACCACATCCCCGCCGCCAAATCGCCCTTCCCCACCGCCCTGCAGAAACCTCCCGTACCCATCCCGCGAATAGCAGCCCCTTTCGACGTCCCAGTGCCTGGTGCTTAGCCCTCACCCCACCCTTAGCCCAGACACTGAGCCCCGGAATACTCTGCCTCAACTCAATCCCCCTTGCACCCTCACACCTCTCTCACCTCCACAAACTTCGCCCGCTGCCTTCCCCCACCCCCTCCTCTAGGCATGTCCTAAGCGCTCAGTAACTGCTGATGGAATAAATCCCACGCCCGTGCCAGCGCCACACGGCCTCCCGGACCCCAGCTGTCCATCACTGGTCCCCCAGACGACCACGAGATTCTAGGTTCCTCTTCCCCTCCTCTCTACAGAACCTCCCACTCCATATATTCCAGCCCAACCCTCGTGCTACATTCCCCAGAAACCAGGCCCCTCTCTCCCGTCCAATGCCCCTTCATACCATCCCGCTCTCCCAGATTTGGGAGCAGGGAGACAGCCTCACTTTCCTCCCTACACCACCCACTCACGCTCTTCTGGGGCTCCCGCCTATTCAACTTCAATGCACCCCATTATTTCACCTGCATTCTGCCCGCATATTTGCTCAAGGTTCTGCTCCGCACACCCACTTTCAGCCTGCATTCCATCACCCCCCATTCACCTGGATTTTGTTCCCTCCCAAATTGCTTGTAAACCCACACCCCCCACCCCCACTCCACCCGCACACACATTTTCCACCTCTCTTCCCTTCGGAGAGCCCTCTCTGAGCAACCCCTCCTCCCCACTTACCCCATCACCACCACCACTTCTAAGATTCCCCAGACCCTGAGCCCCATCTCCCCTCCCGCCGCTGACCCTATCCCTCTACCTGCATCCTGCATCCTTGCTTCGTGACCAGTGGCTCATCCTGGTGGCCGATTTCATTCCAGTCCGGAGCCTCTCCCAGTTCTTCTCAGCCTCTGCCTCGTTCCTGACCTCACGCAGCCCAGCGGTGCCTTTGAGGCCCCGCCCTCACCAATCCGTGACGTCACCACCCCATCCCTGCGAGCGCCGTGCGGTTGTCCCAAGGCCTCATCCTGGCCCACACACCTGACCCAGTTCTCGGGCCTCATGACGTCATGGCGCCAGCACACTCACACTCAGTGTGTCAGCCCCCAGCTCTCTCCCTCTCATCATTCACCAGGATGACCCCTTTCCTTTCCAGGGTTACATCACCGCCCCTGGCTCCACCCTCCAAATGGCTCTCCCCACAGATTTCACAGCTCTCACCCAGGGCTTCCCAAAGACAAATCTCCATCACTACCTCCCATACCAGACATGGGCGAATCACCACCCTTGGCAGCCCCACCGGATGACTATTTCCCCAACTCTAGCTCCCACCACCACCAACACATATTCCAGCCCAGCCATCCCCTAGCTGGGCTCTCACCTGCAGCAGACCTCAGCCCCACATTCACACTCATTGCCTGACTGGGATGATCCCTTTCCCGACCCCATTCTGACCTCACCTCCCTACCACGTGAGTGAATTGAGACTGGACAGAACTCCCCTTCACTGCCCCAGAATACAGACCAAAGCCTTCCACATTGTCCCCATGGAATGTAGAGACACAAAAGCCCTCTGGGGAACCAAGCAATGCAATCTCTATAGGGCACACTGTGGTACCCCAGTTCCCCCTGGGGGATCCAGACTCCCTCTCCCATTGTCTCTTAAAGATGTTTTGCTGGCCAGGTATGGTGCCTCATGCCTGTAATCCCAGCACTTTGGGAGGACAAGGAGGGTGGATCACCTGAGGTCGGGAGTTCGAGACCAGCCTGACCAACATGGAGAAACTGTCTCTACCAAAAGTACAAAAATTAGCCGGGCATGGTAGCAGGTGCCTATAATCCCAGCTAACCAGGAGGCTGAGGCAGGAGAATTGCTTGAGCCTGGGAGATGGAGGTCACAGTGAGGCAAGATTGTGCCACTGCTCTCCAGCCTGGGCAATAAATTCCGTCTCAAAAACCAAACAAAACACACACACACACACACACACACACACACACACACACACACAATAAAACAAAGACATTTTGCCTTAGATAAAGACCATGCACATTTACCAATCCCAAATTCTGCTCCCTGGTGGGTACTATAACCAGCCCCATTATGCAGAGGATGAAACTGAGGCTTGTCTAGGATCTCACGATGAAGGACAGAAGCATTTGTCCTCCTTCCCATCACCCAGCTGCCCTTCCCTGACCACCTCCTGTTTCCTCCCAGAACTGACCCAAATGTGGCCTCACAGCTTCAGCATGGCACGTGCTGCAGGCTGGGGACTTCCGGGTTCAGATTCCAGCTGCACTTATCCTTGGTGTGGCCTTGGGCAAGACACTTGCCCTCTCTGGGCTTTCCCCCATCAGTAAAGTGGGACAAGAGCCCCTACCTTATAGGGTTGTTGTGGAATTAATTTAATGTATATAAGGTGCTTCAAACAGTGCCTGGCACTCCCTGTTACCATCTGTGTGATCTGTTGATTATTTGACAAACAATGAGTCCATGAGGGCAGAGCCATTTTAATCAATCTTCTATCTTCAGGGACTGCTTGTGAATTTCATGGGAGATGCCAGGAAATGGGATTCTAGGCATTGGGGATACAGCTAAGGTTTTCTCCCCTTAGCTCATTAAGTCTCAGCTCCAATGCCCTCTCCTGCAGGAAGCCCTCCCTGACTCCCAGGCTGGGTCAGGAGGTGTATCAATCACCACAGCACTGCCCGGCAAAGCATCAGCCACAGGGAAGGAGCTGGATGATAAGAGAGCTGATTCCTTCCAGCCCAAAGTCTGAACCAGCTTAGCCGTGTTTCCCACAGTGATGGCCAAGGAACATAATCCTTACAACAAGCGCTTATGAAAATGCAGCTTCCTAGGTCGGGTCCCAAACATACACAAGCAGAAACCCTGGGGTGGGCCCCGGAATCTGCATTTCCTCCAGGTTCCTTCAGACACTAAAGGGTCCTTCTACCCTTGGGCACCACAATCTGTCCAGTTTATTCCCCGACCTCTAACCCCACCACCCGACACAAGACCCTCCCAGCTCAGCAACCTTGCCCCACACCACAGGGAGACCCCAAAGGATGGTGAGGACGGTATAGGAGAAACAACACTTTGTAGGCACCACGTGCTCTTCTAGGTGCCGGGTTCTATATTCACATAGAGCCAAACACTCTAGTGTGGAGGTCCAAGAAGCCCAGTGGATATAAACCAACAGTAATCCAAGTGAAGGCCAGGTGTGGTGGCTCATGCCTGTAATCCCAGCACTTTGGGAGGCTGAGGTGGGCAGATCACTTGAGGTCAGGAGTTTGAAACCGGCCTGACCAAGATGGTGAAACCCCATCTCTATTAAAATTACAAAAATTAGCCGGACATGGTGGCACACACTTGTAGTTCCAGCTACGTCGGAGGCTGAGACAGGGGAATCACTTGAACCAGGAGGCACAGGATGTAGTGAGCTGAGATCATGCCACTGCACTCCAGCCGGGGCAACAGAACAAGACTCCATCTCAAAAAATAATAATAATTAAAATAATAATATTGGCTGGCTGCGGTGGTTCACACTTTAACCTCAACACTTTGGAAGGCCAAAGCAGACTGATCAGCTGAGGTCGGGAGTTAGAGACCAGCCTGACCAACATGGAGAAACCCTGTCTCTACTAAAAATACAGAATTACCCAGGCGTGGTGGCACATGCCTGTAATCCCAGCTACTCGGGAGGCTGAGGCAGGAGAATTACATGAACCTGGGGAGCAGGGGTTGAGGTGAGCCAAGATCACAGCATTGCACTTTAGCCTGGGCAACAAGAGCAAAACTCCATCTAAAAAAAATAATAATAATAATAATAATCTGTATCAGGTATTGGTGTTATGAAGAAAAGGCCGGGTGAGAGCCACATGAGAGGAGCTCTTTTAGCCTGAGTAGTCAGCAAGTGCCCGGCTGTGAAGCTGACATCTGAACAGAGACGTGAAAGAGGTGCGGAAGAAGCCACGCAGACATCTAAGGAGACCTGATCCCGAAGGAGTGGACAGCGAGCACAAAGGCCCTGAGGTGACAATGTGTTCACCATGTTCAAAGAACAGAGAGGAGGCCAGGTGGCTGCAGCAGAGTAAGCAAGGGAACTGAGAGAGGTGATGGACGTTGAAGGGAGGGAGGAGGAGGAACCCAATAAGCTGGGGGTCCTTGCGGATACGGTGAAGACTTTTACCGAGTAAGGTGGGAGCCAGGAGAGGGTTTGAACAGAGGAGCAATCTGATCTGATTTCTGTTCTACTAGGATCCCCGTAACAGCGAGAGGCAGGGAGACCACGCAGAAGGCCACTGCAACACACCAGGTAAGAGCCAAGAGACAAGCTGGGACAGAGTGGTAGCAAAGGAGCTGGTGAGATGTGGTTGGATTCTGGATGTGGTTTGTTTTGTTTTGTTTTTTTGAGACAGAGTTTTGCTCTTGTTGCCCAGGCTGGGGTACAATGGTACAATCTTGGCTCACTGCAACCTCTGTCTCTCAGGTTCAAGTGATTCTCCTGCCTCAGTCTCCCAAGTAGCTGGGATTACAGGCATGTGCCACCATGCCCAGCTAATTTTGTATTTTTTAGTAGAGACAGGGTTTCTCCATGTTGGTCAGACTGGTTTCGAACTCCCGACCTCAGGTGATCCACCCGCCTCAGCCTCCCAAAGTGCTGGGATTACAGGTGTGAGCCACTGCGCTGGGCCTCTGGATGTGTTTTGAAGGTAGAGTTAATGTGATCTGCTGATGGCTGGACCGTGTATAAGTCAAAAGAAGAGTGAAGAACACTCCAGGCTTCTTGATCTTAGTGCCTGGAAGGATGAATGTGCCATCAACTGGGTTTGGAGGCTGAAAGGAGAGAACGGCAAGTTTGGTTTGGAACAAGTTTATGTCTGAATGTCAAATGAACTTCCAAATACAGAAAAGTCGGCCACGATATGATCTAGAGTTCAGGGCAGAGATCCAGGCTGGAAACCACACCTGGGAGTTATCATTAGATAAACAGGGTGAAGCAAGCCAATGGTATAGACAGAGATGAGATCATTCTACCGATTATTAAGCTGAGGCACAGAAAAGGATAAACAACTCGCCCAAAGCCACAGTAACGCTCAGTGGCAGAGCCGAGATTCAAATTCAGGATTCAACCCGACGCCAGAGTCCACACTCTGAAATATCGGTAGGGTAAGTTTAAGAGTTAATTCACCTAAAACGCTTGGCAGGTGCACAGCACCTAGTAAACGCCACAGGCAAAATAGGGCTTCACATCTCTTTGAAGTACATCCTCATCCCTGGAGGTCTCCCTCCCTCCCTCAATATTGCTGCTTCCCACGACTTTCACCCAAATCAAAGCTTGTAAATCATAGTGCGCTATACTGACCCTCTGCCTTAAAACCTACTAAATCGCCACGCTGCATTCCAACGGCATCTCTATATTTTACCATCTGCTGCCTCCTGCTTTACGACTTCCCCCACTGAAGACCCTCCTGCGAAATACAGATCACCCTCAACTTAAATGCTGGGCTCAGCCTCAGAACCCCTCAGTTAAGCGCCTACCCTTGTTAAAGGGCACCTTTTCTCCCGATTCCCACAAGGCCGGGTCAGCTGCCCAACGCAGCCCACTCTCCTCCAACAGAACCCCGCGTCCCTCCCGCTAACACCTCCGCTGCGAGCCGCGCACCCGCCACTCCCGCCGCCTCTCACCTTCTCCACGGGCACCACTCCTCGCGAGCGGTTCAACTGCCGAAGCTCCAGCCCCGCCCCAGGATCCGGCGTTCTTGCTTCTCATTGGTCATAGCTTACCCGCAGCCAAGTTTCCATTAGCCAAAAGAGACGCCGGTCACTCTGTCCCGCCCCAGAGGAGAACCCGCCCTCCAAATCTTGCAATTGGCTAACTCGGAAGAGGTGTTCCGAAATGGGTTGGGGGGAAGCACCTACCGGCTTGCTCTTCTCTAATCACTACTGGCTAATGATGCTGCCAGTCTTACGAAAGGGTTGTTCGCCGAAGTAAATGGGAAAGAATCCCGGAAGTAGCCCCTTGACTCCGCCTATTACCCCCTGCGGAAGGGTAGGCCGCGCCCACGTGGTGGGGAGGGCCTGGAAGGGAGAGCCGGGTGTGCATGCGCAAGGGGAGGTTGTGGCCGAGTCTCCGGAAACTGGGGAGTGGTCTCAACATAAAGACAGGTTGAGATTTGTCATCTCTCGGTGCATTCCAAACCTGCACTAAGCATTTTGCAG